TGTGATTGGGGGTTTAGGCATTATAGGTTTAGGGCACAGCCAGACGAGGTCTCGCGGTTCGCATTCGCCTGACAGATGGTGACAGTTCGAGCTCGTGTAGCAAGAACAGTGTCAAGGGTTTCGGCGCTCACACTCGGACAATCCAGGCGAAGCATATGGTTCGGAGTCTGACAAGTGAAACGGCGCTAAAGGAAGTAGTCATGATGAGAAGAAACAATGATATAAGACATAAATAAAGCAACTGTTCTCTGTAGACTGCCTCCTGCCCGTGTCAAGGGTTTAGGGGTTTAGGGGTTCAGGTTCCCTGGGGTGCCCCATGCTAGAGACTAGATGAGCGTTATCCTGCCGCAGTAGGGTACAGCGGCACGTCACGGGCTCAGATACGATATTGGGATTTAAATTATGGTGCGAATTTCTCTACCTCCAAAGGTCCAAAGACCGTAATCGACCGGATCTCCGTGGCTCAGCAGCACGTGGAAAGGCGGGAAAGTGAAGGGCAAGTTGGAGATCGATGTGCCCCACAGGTCCGAAAGCATTCACTAGAAGGGCATTGATAACTAGAATAATGAATAATGTTTTTCTACTTGTCGGGTATCATGGGGAACTAAAGGTTAACCCTTTTGGTTATATTGGGATGTTTTAAGGAGTATACGGGACTATACTACCCCAAAAAAGTTAAAGGTTACCTACTCGACTGCTAGGTTTTGGAATACTATACTATAAGCATAATGAGGAACCACCAACATAGTATAGGTGTCAGGCCCCTCTATTACATGCCAGTTGATACCAGAGGCCCTGCTTCGTCTTGGCCACCAAATCTCGAACTCAAATCACGGAGGGTCAATGATGGGTCGAAACAAACCAAAATCGAAACCGTCCATAAACATATCCCCAGCCCCAACACAAGACCCTGACTCCAAAAACTCCCAACCCCCTAGACCATAAACCCATGAACCTTAACACACACACATAGATAGATATAGACTACAAAAACACATACGCACACACATGGTCTGCCCCTCCAAAGAAATAAAGCAGAACTGAGATGTCGGCCGAAGTATTGTGCAGTTGTCAGGGCATGACTGAGTCGAAGAGGGACAATAACACCTTGGCAGCGGTAGACTCATGATATATACATATATATATATATATACATATGTATACATATGTATATATAACACACATATATATACATATATATATATATATATATATATATATATATATATAGGGTTTAAGGGTTTGGGGGTTTAAGCGTTTCCTTCGGGAGTCTGGATTGCCAGCTGTCGGGTCCAAACACGAGGCTCAAACTAAACGGACGAACGTGACGGCGGCTCGGGACGGGGCCGCTACTCTAGCTCACGATCCACTAAACCCCAAGCTCAAATACTCGCTACACAAACATATATATATATATGTAGAATTATATAACAATATATACTATGTCATGTTCATTCTTAGATAAATGAAAACCACTCAGTTCCGGTACGAAGCCACTCAGCGCCCTCTTCTTTTGCACGAGAATCCGGTGCAAGAGATCGACATTTGGCTGCTCATGATGTGGGTTCCGGACATGTGTGCCTGTGCCCACCCGAAGTACACTAAGTACCAAGTTCAGGCCGGCTTGAGGGGCGAGCCATGTCGCCTGGCAGTACAGATACCCGAAGTCGTCACGTAATATAGGGGCCCCTAAAAATTTGGAATCGGGTTTGGGGGCCCGTTATACTATAAATATCACCAGGAACACCAAAAATAGAACTGGTAAACATTTAGGCCCCTAGGTTACAGCTGTCTAAACCTGACACCCCTTGTTGCGCGGACCCCAACAGCCTACGCATAAAATCCTCCACCTGAGCTTGGAGTGCTTGAACCCGACGTCTCCGCCCGACAAATAATCAATTTTTCAGCAACCAGGGTTTCCTACTACAGTAAAACGGTCCCAACAGACCATCCTCGTTATGGTTTTCGGACCTAATCCCATAGTCGTAGTGCAAAGGGAACCTCTTGGAACTGAAAAATGATTCCGAAGGAAGCCTTACCTAGACCCTCAAAAGTAGGTAAAATAATGGCCCAAAACCTATAAAAGGATATTATTCTACACACTTTTGGTATCCAGGTAAACCCTAAACCAGCCTAGCTTAAACCGTGCTCAGGCTTCCCGGGCCGGCTCCTCATCGCCAAAACAAAGGGAACGCTTTGAGCGTCCAACCATGGAATCCCAGGCGGCTGACGAATAATTCGAATCCCGTTGTCGGATAGAGTTTATAAATAGTAACAAAAGTAATAATAGTCATAGTAATAGTAATAATGGTAACAACTTTTAAACTCGTAATAATAGCAATAATTACTACGGTTATAGAGGTATCGGACGAACAGGTGATACTATGACCGTTTTTTCAGACTCTCGACCTCCAGATTAGCCAAGGTTGAAGCATCGTTCTGGGAGTTGTCCAGATCGAACTTGGCACGTTACAGACACCGGTTCGACGACATCCGGAAATGCCATGCTATGGCTAACCTCTGCTTGTGAACAGTTTACACATGATCGAGGCCCCCGGCAGAATAGAACAGTGCGGTTTATCATCGACTCGAGTTTGAGAGGTCTTGACCGGGTCCAATGCATCAACGGAAGCTGAAGAGAGTAAGTACTGATTTTCAAGCAATCACTCTAGACTCTACAGCGACACAGATGACTCTTCTAACAACGCGAAAGCCAATAAACAAGCAGTATCAAGCCCTTACAAAAACCCTCATAACTACCGACTCTATACTGGACTCCAGCTCCATATGTCCCTCTCTGGGATCCCCATCCTCTGCCAGACGATTTAAAAGGGGAGCGTCCTGTCTTTCCCGGACCGTTGAATGTTTGGCTGTAATATTTCTGAATATGTCAATTCGGGTTGGGGCGCGTTTAGGTTCTGTGGTGTTCTGTGTTGAAGGTTTACTGCCAAAGATGTCGGGTTTCAGAAGTGAGTGATCAAGGCGCGTCAGGGCGAGGAATGAGGCTCGACTTGTGAGGATCATGGATCAAAGGGGAAAGGAGGGACCCTTAATGGGGACCCCTACCCTATAATGGGCTATATAATGGGTATATAATAGCTCTATTAAGGGTATATACCTAGGGGTCCGTATTAAGGATCTATCCTTTTACCCTTGGAACGGAAGTTGGCCGTAAGAAGTGGTCTATAACTAGATTCACCGGGCAGTCCGGTTGCAACTACCCTGGGAAACAACAGCAGCCGCGAGACTAACCGCCACAGCCATGGTTCACAAGCAGAAAACGTGCAGGTGGCATGTTTGTTCAGAAATACTGGCAACAACCAAATTAAAGTCACATGAACAAGAAGAACATTGCAATCCACCTGTTCGTGCTAGAAGATACAGCGGTAAGACTAAATAAATATGACAAAACAGGACAGCGGCAGGAACCGGCAATGTTAGTGGTGCTAGCCGATGCTGCTCGTTCATGCTGCGATTCCGACCAACCCAACGGATAAAACGACTGACTTGCAGCTGTTATCTGGCACATGAAACGAGTTTGCAACGCAGATTGAACCGCTTAAGGTATCATTGCCAGTGGAGCTTGCTCAGGCTCCCGCATGCCCAACCCGTCTGACAGAACACTCCTCCTTCAACAGACTGGTGGTCCTGCTCACGCAGCTCAAAGAAAAAACACTGGGCCGCTGCCTTCATTGAGGCAGTCGGCCCACCGGCAGTCGGCGAAAGACTTTTGGGGTTCGTGAATTCAGATTTGCTTCGGCGAAGGTAGAGCTTTTAGCAGGAAGGGTTAACCAGCAGCTGAAAGAAACTGGCATAAAGTGGCCGATGAACGGATCCTAACAGCTGAACTTGGTTAGAAGTTAAAAGAAAAGAGCAACTACAATGGAGACAATAGGGTGGTTGCCCAAATTATGGTCCCTTTTTGGGTCCCGATTATGATACGGCACCTATTATTTAGGGTACCCAAAAAGGGGGCCCTAATCTTGACAACCTGAACACTAAACCCTAAACCCCTAAACCCTAAACCCCTAAAGACAACCACCCAGTAGGTACCCAGAGATCCCAATACCCCTTAATTAAGGAATATACCGCAAATCATAATGTTAAGACTCTTATAACTTAAGGTATATTCCTTAATTAAGGGGTATTGGGTTCTCTGGGTAAGCCCGTTTAGGGTTTACGCTCTCGCAACTCGGACACAGCCAGACGAGGTTCCAGCGAGTTTAGGGCTTAAGGTTTAGGGGTTGGGGTTTAGGTTTCTGTTCCTCAAAGGGTTAAGGTTTCCATTTTAGGGCTTAGGGTTCAAAATTGCGCAGACTATGGACGTTGAGAGGCATGTTCCCGTCTCAGTGCCGATGCCGAATTCTGCAAACTTTCACCAATGGACCCTTTAGTAGGTCCTTGAATTCCTGTTGAATTCTGGCACATCCTTCCTGTAAGGTACTGCCATAATGTCCTAACTACTACACGCCGAAGCAGGCAACTGGGGGCCTGGACCACTGCGCCTTGATAGTGCTCGAGACCATGGAAAGTACACCTCCAAAAGAGGCCCGCCCAAAGAGCCCAAGACAGCGTAAACACCCGTAAACCCCTGGAATCCTTCTAAACCCAAGAGTAACTTAGGAATAAAAAGGGTGCCCTTTTTGGTTTAAGGGGGCTTATAAGGGAGCATGAATAAGGGCCTATTCTAGGTCCTAGGACCCCATACTCATTCCCTAAATCCCTACAAATTGCTCAACCCCAGACCCAGCGAGCAAGGAGCATCCATGCAATCAAACGGCGGATCCATCTGAGACTCAGAAATTCTTCGTTGAGACTACAAAACCCGACAAAGTCCTGCAGCGACTACGTTTAAAAAATCATCATACATTGCTCTTCAAGGATTGAGTACATTGGATATCCAACTTTTGAGCTGCTGTTGCAGTGCTAAAACCGTCAACTCAAATCGAATCCTCAAGTGCCTTAAGGGCTTTCTGGGCTGTCCGGCCACGGCTCTCTGATCAGGCGCCACCCTGGAAGGATGCCTTCTTCGCCTTCTGTCGCCGCTTCTTCTCGCCTTTATCACACAAGTGGCCTGGGCGCATAGAGGGCTTCAAGGGGTCTGCAGGGCTTAACATGGGTGTTGGGGTTGTAGGGCTGGGAGTATACATTCACGCCGGATTTTGTTCCGTGCAGTCACTGCATATCCAGAAGAATAAAAAAAAACAAACCAACTACCAGGCGGACGAGTCACAGAAAAGGCACATTGCGCCATTCTGGCAACCCTTGGCATACAAAAAGGCGCAAGGGCGGCACTCCTTGGCTATCTGGACGTCCGGGAATGCGATTTGCTAGCTTAAGGGCTTTGACTCTATGAGGGGGTTCTACTGTGTCTTGCAGGGCCAGGCAGCCTTTGCATGGCAAATCACAAATTGCAAATCACAAAGGCTGTCTAAAGCCAATCTTTACATGGGTGTCGATCAATTACTCTGCTCTTCGCACGCGCGAAACCTGCCGCAGGATGTACAAGCTTAGGAATTCCGCTTCAGCTGCACCCCTCCAGGGGCCTGTCGTCTACTTTTTTGACATCGTAGCACCGAGTTTAGGGTGTAGGGGGTTAGGGTGTTCGATGGCAAACCGTTGCATGTAGGACGTAGGAAACCGAAAACAACTAGTAATTCAACCTCTGTATGAAGGATGCAAGCTGCAATCTTCTCTAAGCGTCAGCACAGCACGACAACCCCGACCCGAAAGCCATAACCGTTCATCCCACACCTGTTGCGTTAAAATATGCAGCCTTGTATGTCTTCATCTTTCGACTAGTGCTGCAGGGGTTCATTGAGCCCGTTCGTCTGTATGCGTGCGTGTGCGTGAGTGTGATTGGTGGAACAAACAAGAGCAACTCTCAAGCTTCCCCATGGCCAACGAATGAGTTAGAGGTGCAACTTAGGAACGGAGTCGATATGTAGTTCACACAGTAAGGATTCAAAGAGCACTGAAAAGTAGCAACAGTAATTGTAGACATCCTCGGTGCAAAGGAATGCAAAATGCAACTGAACAACGGAAGAGAGCCATAACAATGACAACAATGGCAAGAACCGTAGCAATGAAAACCACAAGCAGAACCAGAATACCAATAACAATACAGTTGATGATCATAGTAGGACAGTTTTCGGGTCCTAAGTATACGGGTGCCGTACTACTCTCATGACGAAATGTATCCCACATGGAAAACTAAGGGGCTCAGTATCATAGCCCAGAAAGGGTTAAACTTTTCAATTATGGTAGGATTATAGAAAGCTCAAAAGGTTAAGTTACCTACTCAGCTACTGAGTTACCCTTATAGAACCCCGGATCTAAAGGAACCCAAGGTACCCCTAATTTTCGGAAACATCAATATCATAGGAATAACACTAGCAACACTGTGGAAAATGCATTTACAGAACCCCTGTAGCTCCCTTATAAGAACCCCTTATAGCACCCAAAACCTCCAAAAGCCTAAAGATACCCTCCCACATGGGAGTTTCCGAGAATAGAGGTCCCTAATATAATACCCTAGATAGTAGGACTCTTATTGTAAGGACCCCAATTTGCGGTACCCCTAAGTTTCGGAAACTCCCACATGGGAAGATGCAGGCCAAAGGGGCGCCGGAGGCGTGGCCCTCAGACCCGATGCTGGGCAGCTCCGCGGAGCCGGGCGCCGGAGCTGAGGGCACTTGGATGGACGGAGGGCACCTTGGAAACTTAGGGTGTTCTCTAGGGTTTCTAGGATGTTTAAAACGGGCTTCAAAGGGGGTTTATAGGGTCTTTTCAGGTTTTACAGGTGTTTTCTACTGGCTTTGTAGAGGTTTAGTATTGCCTCAGAGATGTTTAAAGGAACCACGTATTAGGGAATGCAGCCCAAAGCCCTACCACCCCTGAGCTCTCCCTACAACAAATCAACCACAAAGGACCGACACTGAGGCCTGTTTGCCCGGTGACGAAGAGCATAAGATCATTCGATACGTGGGCAGTTAGGCCCTACTAAACCCTGCTAGAACTCTTCGAACACGCGTTCAAGAATCCGTTTTCAGCCCATGTTATACTCCCCGTCTGGGGTATAGCACCAATATCTGTTGTTTAAAATCGAGACAGCACACATCTAAACTAGTGTAGAGAAGGTTATATCCCCTGCGGAAGCCTAAAACCCAAGCCATACTCTCAAACCCTGCTGATTGTATTCGAGCTCCCTTTTCCCCCTAACACACAGGAGACAACTTAAACCAAACACCTACGCATGAATAAGTGGCCTATGTGCTTGCTTCAACCCCAACCCCTAAATCCCTGAAAACGAAACACCCTAAAGCCCATGCAAAATCACAACACCATAAAACTAAAGCCGTACAACACCCTAAGCCCCAAACCATAAAACCCCTAAATCCTAAACCGGCAAAGTAAGATCCCTAACACCCTAAAGCCATGATAACCCCCCAAAGCCAAAACCCCTAAGCCATAGACCCAAAATCCTAAACCATATAGCCCCTGAGCGCTAAAACCGTACAACGTCTACTTTTCTATTTTCGAAGGCCAGAAACGTGGGGAGATCCTCCACAGAGCGCTTGGGAACGGCTTCCTCCTGTGGCCGAACCTGGCCGGGTTTGAGGGTTCGGGGGGCTTTTCCCACCCGGGTTTAGGGTTCAGGAAGAAGGTTTGTATTGTGGCATCGGGTTTTCGTGGGGTTGTGTAGGGATTAGGGAAAGGGTGTGTGAATTGCTGGAATGAAGCTTTCGTGGGTTACTGCAGGGTTTCAGTACCGTTTCAGTTCAGCTTTGCATGATTTTCGTGCAGGGGCTTTCATAGGATTCAACAAGGGTGCTGTTGGGCAATTACGACAGGACATGTTAGTCGGCTTTCAGGGCTCTTCATTCTCAAGAACTTCAGGATAAAAGACTCTTGGAGGAAGTATTGGGTCGAGAGCTTTGGGATATAAGCGGCATAGAGCTTAGCGCCATCTGATTTTCGGGCGTCTGGTTGAAAACTGATCAGGGTTTGGAGCATGAGGGACTTTGGTGTGGAATTCCAGAGGGCCGGTGTTGACCTTGCAGAAAAGTTAAGGATGCAAGGTTTGAGAGACTTTTTGCTCAAGATATGGGAGTTTCCGAAAATGGGGGACCCTAATACAGCACCCTAAATATTAGGATCCCTACTATAAGGGCACCCCAAAATAAGGTACCCCCAACTTTTGGAAACTTCCTAAACCCGATAAACGCTTCATAGAACCCTGCACATCCCTTTAAGGAACCCCTTTAAAGGTACCCCTCACTTTCGCAAACACGTAGTTATGAGACTCCCAAAGGCGGCCCCCCGGGCGCGAGACTAAAAAAAAGAAGTTCAGAAAAAAGGGCCTAAGGGCCTTACTAGTTAGAGTAGGGTTCCTTTAAGGGCTCCTTTTTGAAAGGGGTCCTTTAAGGGTTACTATAAGGGCTAGTATAAGGATTTAATATAGGGGCCGACATTATCAGAACAGGATTTGAAGGCCCATTATAATTTGATTCTACTAAGGAATCGCCAAGATAGTATTGGTGATTATTTAAGCCCCTGTATTATATGAAACCAAAGGACGTCAGTGCTGATTGAAGATCTGAGGTGCATCACTGCGGGGTTTTTAACATTCGGGAGCTGTAAAGGACCCGAATATAGGGGCCTAAATAGTTGCCTATACTATCTTGGGGGTTCCTTGATATGACTATAATTAGTATCTTGGGCCCCGAAACCCTATTCTAATCATTAAGGCCCCAATATTCAACCCTAAACCCCAAACTGGCACCAAACCCCAAACTCTGCTAGAAATTCAATCGTGGCCAAGCCTGCGTCTCTAGAGGAGGAATCTGCCAGTCGCGTCGGCAAGCTTCCTGCGCCTCAGACCAGGGACAGTCTGGGGATGTGTCGATCTGAATGCCACTGTTAGTTGCCGAGTTCATAAGACGCAAAACATGTCTACCCGACTCTCTGACTCCCAAGAAGTGCCTGGACCCACATGAACTCGAAACCTAGACTCTGAAACCCAGCTCCCCAAGGATAGGGGGTTTAGGGCTCGGGGCTGGGGGCTTAACCTCTCGCAAGTTGGTTCAATCGGAACGCAAACACAGGGGCCCTGACTGTGTCGGCTTTCTGCTATAGCTCACTGGCCCAAAACCCAAAGAAATAAAAGTTGAAACCCTAAATCCTAAAAACCTAAAAACCCTAAAGAATCGACTGCCGAAAAAGACCACCCAACAGTTGAAAAAGTTGAGTTTACAGCCGACAAGCAATTAGCGGCCTGCAGGTCCCCGAAGGCCTCACGACTCCTCCCACACCCAAAGCTCCAAAGCCACAAAACAAAACTATAACACCCAGTTAAAGATATTAAAAAATGCTATAAGACCCACTTAAACTTTTCGGTAGCACCGAAGTTCCGAATAACTTTTCAAAACCCTTTACACCCTAAACCCTTTACACCGCGAGCCCTTTAAACCTTCAACCCTGAACCCTCCTAAACCCTAAACCCTTTGAACCCTCAGCCCTTTCAAACCCCCAAGCCCTAAACCCTGTAGATCCCTCAACGGAACCCCCTATAGTACGCTTTAAAGGAACCCGAAAGCCCTAAAAGCCCCCCGGCCTCCTTGGGATAGGTGGCCAGGGGACCCCTGGGATCCTCTGGGCACGGAGGGTAGACGTAGGGAGTCGGCTCAACGGGTGCCTGGGAGAAAAGCTGTCCAGGGTTTACCTTAACCCGGAATAACCTACCTTTTTAGGGACTTATATAAGGAGCCCTAAACAGGTAGGTTCTTCAGGGTTAAGGGGTCAGGCTTTTGTTTTACTCGTGTAAAAAATTTGGAAAAATCGGGGAGTTAGAGGATTTAGGGGATTTAAAGCTAGATTATAAAGATACGGTGAACCAACAACACAAGAAACCCAAGTCTCTTTTCATGAAGGCCCTTATATCCTAAACCCTAAACCCTAAAGTAGGTCAACAGTCCCCAAATTGAGCAACAAGGAAAATTAAGAACTGTCCCATATCGATACCCTGTAAACCTACGATGAAACCTAACTACACGTATCAAACAACTCTCCGAAATATGGGAGTTTCCTGAAAACAGGGCACCCTAAATATAGTACCCTAAATAGTAGGATCGTTCTTATAAGGACCCCCCAAAAAGGTACCCCCAACCTTCGGACACTTCCTAAAGCCGATAAACCCTTCATAGAACCCTGCAGATCCAAAATCGGAAACTCCCATATCGACCCAGCCGCCGGCATGGTATGGCCTCGGGTCCTTAGTTGCCGAGCTCACAATCCCCGCCGAAATTTGAAACTGTCAGCTCCATGGAGGATATAACGTATCCCGAAAAAGATAAGAAACTCGCCAACAATTGAAACTTTCAGTTCTATGGATGATATAACGTATCCCAAAATAAGAAAATGTACGAATTCAGCCACCCAGGGTTCTCTTCGTGGGGGTGGCGATAGTACTGAGGGTTGGGCTCGCATGGAAGGGGCATCATGTGGCCGCGTGGATCCTCAGGGGCAGGGTGGTAATACCCTGGGGTAGGCTCGCATGGGGGTGGCAGTGGTGGAGGATGGTAGAAGCCAGGAGTGGGTTCGCATGGGACCGACATCATAGGCCCTGGTGCTGGATGATAGAATCCAGGTCTGGGCTCACATGGAACCGGCATCATGGGTCCGCGCGGCTCCTCTGGGGGTGGATGGTAGAATCTGGGCCTTGGCTCGCACGGAACCGGCATCATGGGTCTTCGCGCCTCCTCATGGTAGAACCCATGCGGGGGCTCGCATGGCATTGGCAAGGGGTGTGCATGAGGTGCCTCCGGAGGTGGGTAGTATCCTTGAGTCGGCTCACATGGAACTGGATGGGGGGGAGGGCACATGTGGGGATCGTGCATAGGGGGATGAGGGTAGAAACCGTGAGTGGCTTCGCATGGAATTGGCGGAAGTGGCATTGGTGGTGCGTGAGCATGGGGCTGTTCTGGGGGAGGATGATAGAACTGGGGGTTTGGCTCACAAGGGACGGGGTGCGGGGGCGGGCACATGTGCGGATCGTGCATCGGCGCGGGTGCCGGCAGCCACGGCTCCTCGTACATCCTGTAAGGCAAGTATGCTTCCTCAGCCCCTGCGTAGCAAGCGGCTGGGGGCTCGCACGGGACAGGAGGCCGAGGAGGACACAGCCCTGCATCATGCCTCAGTTGTTCATGACGTTTCTTGAGCACCTTTCGACGTTTTGCTTTGACGGCTCCCTAACCCTAAACCGTCCTATGGAAGTACTTATGGCTTGCGCTTGGACCGTCGGGGTTTAAAAGTCTGCAGGGTCGAAAGCGGAGATTGCACCGCAATGAATATCTTGTTCGGGCTTAGTTGAGAAATTGTGATCTTGCGTGACTTAAGAACAAGACTAGAGTTTAGGCTTTAGTTGCAAAACAGTGGTTATCTATCTGAAAAACTGACAAGATTAGAGTTTCGGCGCTCACACTCGGACAATCCAGGCGAGGCAGATTAGAGTTTAGGGCTTAAGGCTTCAGTTGTTCTCTGACTTAACAAGACTAGAGCTTAGGCTTTTAGAGCTTTAGTATTGCAAAACAGCGATTATCTGACTCAAGAACAAGATTAGGGTTTAGGCGCTCACACTCGGACAATCCAGGCGAGGCATGTGGTTCGAGGTCTGATGAGTGAGACGACATCTATGCGTGATTTTAGGGTCTACCTTAACCCGGAATAACCTACCTTTTTAGGGACTTATATACGGAAATCATAATAAGGAGCCCCAAAAAGGTAGGTTCTTCAGGGTTAAGGTAGGGCTTTAGTTGTAGAGCGATGCTGCTCAATGGCAAGACACAGGTTTCGAGCTTGGGGCTTTAGTTGCAAAGCAGTGCTTCTCTGATTTAAGAACAAATTAGGGTTCAGGGCTTGATCTGTGAAGCAGTGATTATTTGACTTAAGACTTAAGGAAAATAACAAGATCAGCCTCAACAGCATCCAAAATACACAGGTGGCAGAGGCTGTTGCGGCGGTTGTGTCGCCAGCCACTGCTTGCCATGATCCCGGTTGGTGTAAGTACTTGGCGCCAAAGGCTCCTCGTGCCTGGATGGACCCGAAACCCTAATCTGCGCCCTAAATCCTGAACTTTATCTATGCTGTTTATGTATGATCTCATGCGTCATTGATTTACGGGTTTCGCGAGCAGTTCAATCAGGACAGCAACCATGAAACACCAAGTTGAGGGGAGGAGAGGAGGAACCCTAAAGCCTAATGCCAGGTTTCTACAGCAGGATCCTGCTAGAGTAGACCATGCTCCCATTTAGGGCTTAGGGTTGGGGCCTTGATGGTTTAGGGTTCACCTTTAGCCCCAGACACAACAGAAAGAATCCCTAAACATCCAAGGAACGGAGTGTTGGGAACATCGAAGATGAGCGTCTCCTCTAAGCTGATAACGGGCTTCGCTGCCTTGGGAACCTGGCAAGCCTCGTCGTCCTCTGTAAAAAGCTTCTGGATCCATCCCACATGGCTTGCCTCAAATTTCGATAGCTGATGGGCTGAGGGCTTCTGTGGGCTTAGGGTTTAGTGCGTCAGGCATTTTGAAAGCTGATGGGCTGTCAATGGTGCTGAGGGGTTTTGTGCTCAGCGTTGCCACATAAATCACAGCAACCGCGCATTGTCTTTGCTTGGCAAGGACCTTCAATTGCCCCGATTACATCAACCGGAGAAGTTTGCAGCTTTCTAGCTTGTGCGGTTCGACGAAGAACGCAAAAGTTCTATTCAGTCAGAAGTGCGACCACCTTCTGTCATACAGATGCATAGTGAAAGTTGTTTCAATGGCATGGCTGCATGCTGCTAACCCTACAATACTCCACCTGCCGTAACATCATTGCTAGTAAGTATGATTGCGAAAACTCGTATGCTCGGTGTGACCGGCATATCGGTTAAATTGCGACGCGCGCTACCTTGCTACCTTCGTAGCACGACGGTGGCAAAGACGGGCATTCCGTATATGTGTACACAAACGAACTGCAAAGCAAAGCGGTTTACAACCACAACCTAGTTTGATGAATGAAAATATCTTATAAGTAACTAAATTGAAACCGCTGGAAAGAAGAACCTTGGCCTGCAGCACAATGCTGGAACAAGCACGCACTAGCGGCACTGGTGATGATTGTTGAAACACTGTCGGAGATCCTGTTACTGCCCTGCCACCTGCCGTTTGGAGTAGCCCTACTAAACTTTTTAAACCCTGAGCCCTACACTAAACCCTAAACCCTCTAGGATTGCAGAACTCCTGTAAGATCGGATGCTTAGGAAAGGAACCCCCGAGTCCCTCAGTCCCTAAACAGTCGCGACTGCTATTAACAACAACTTATGTTACGGAGGCCGGTCGAGGAGTCGCTGATGACACTGCTACCGCGGCTGGTGGGCGTCATCGCAGATGGAAGAATTTTCTGATGAGTTACGGATATGTATGGACAATTATCTCAGAAAGGCGCTGAGAAGAGCATAAAGCACCAAAACAATCTTCCTGACGAGCGCCCAGATGCCGGGCAGGAGAGGGCGTTCTTGGCGATTTCCTCTGTGGCACCCTGTCCTGGACTAGCGACATGGATGAAGGTATTGCGGACCTGAACGGCCTCTGGAGGGTATGCGTGTTCGTCGGCCGCATCTTGCGGGATGGAAATCTCTATGTTACTCTTCCCGAAGCGCGGCACGTGGTGGGGAGGCGCAAGAGCGGCGGAAGCCTTTCCACCCCGAATCTTCACATCCATGGCGTCGAGGGCCGGTGACATTCTCAGGCCAACTACGGTCCTACAAGGCTTCAACTCGGCGTACCACTGTCCATTGAGCCGGCACAGATGCAGTTTGCACCATGACAATGGAAAACTCCAAATCTCCGCTCGTGTTCTTGGGGGGAGGGCGGGATTCTTGAATCCGACAACATCCTCAATCCCTAGCCCAAATTACTTGTCGGGTATCATGTGGGACTAAAGGTTAAGCTTTTTGGTTATATAGGGATTATATAGGGGCTATACTACCCAAAAAAAAAGTTAAAGCTTACCTACTCTACTACTAGGGGGGTAGATGTCGACCACACAAAGCTGGTCAGATCATGCCAACCTCGCACCTACAGCCGAAAGGCCGAAACTCGATAATCCTGGGCGTACCACAACTTTCTACCCAGAGATCTCGAAGCTAAGCCCAAAAGATCCCAAAAGCCCCCGAACCCCAAACTCTCAAACCCTACATCCCTTCTTCTGAACCCAGACTCTGCCGATCAGCTGGGTTCCCTGTTTTACACAGGCTTGATTGCAGCTCGCCCGTGGTTCCCTAAACCTTAAAGCCTTAAAGCCGGCACCTCAAAGCCTGAGCCCTTGGCAGGCCAGCCACCAGGGAAGCCATGTCATTGGCTCCTCGGCTCTTTCACTTCGAATCTGATCGCATTGTTCCTGACGTTTCGGTTCTTCTCATCACCACTACCAAGTCTCCTCTTGTAGGGTTTGAGAACTTCTGTCCGAGAGTCTAGCAGCTGGCTATGTCTTAGAAGGATTTGCGGTACCAGCCTGCGTGTTTGACCGGAGGGCCAGAATCATATGGGAGTTTCCGAAAATAGGGGACCCTAATATAGCACCCTAAGTAGTAGGATCCTCATTATAAGGACCCCAAAAGGAGGTACCCGTAATTTTCGGAAACTCCCAAAGGTTTTAGTTTAGGCTCGATGGAGTCAGGAACGCAGCAATCGTTGCGTGGGCCTTCACTGCAGTATACCTGTGCTTCTAGATTCTTTCTTTCCCGACCCGGGCTCCGCAAGCATTTTGAACCCTACCCAGACCCCCAAAAGTATGAAAAATAATGGCCCAAACCCTTTAACAGGCTAATATTCTACATACTTCGAGGGTCCAGGTAAAGGAATGTTGAACAAATTTTAAGTGGACGTCGTAGATGTAGGCCTTTCGAGTTTGTCTCCTTACGCTTGTAGATGAAACTGCCAATGAGCTCCGTGATAACATGCTGACCTACTCTACCTATAGTATCCATTGTAGTTCCTTTTTGGGGTTACCTTATAGGATCCTAAATATATAATTGGTTAAACCATTAAAAAAAAGCAACTACAATGGAGACCATAGGTAGGCACTGCAAGGCGGCGCGGAAGACTAATGCCAACCCCAACCGCGGTAAACCTTGAAACCCTAGCAGGCCTCATCATCCCTATAGCCCCAAATGCTCGCGAGTCCATACTGGGTGATGCTTCTCACTGAACTTCAGAGTTCGAAGGTTGAAGGTTGAGCTTAGCATACTGGGGAGCCGTCGGCCAGCAACTCTCCACAGCTACAACTTGGTCCCCTCTCTCGACGAAAACTTCCTACAACCTTGACCGTCAAGCTACCTTATATATGGGCCTTAATCATCAGAATAGGGTTTTGGGTCCCCTTATGCTATTCTAACAATAATAAATTTTGAATAAGGATCCCCAAAAGAGTATAGTGGTACCTATTTAGGGCCCGACTCCACTTCTGCTCCAAGGCGCCGCACCCGGGACATGGGTCTGTGGACGTGGTGAGACGGGGGAAGGGTTCAGGGCCTCGGGCTTTACAGCTCTGGGCTGGGTTTTGAGTTTGAGGTTTATAGAACCCCATCTAAATTCACCCCAAGTCCATATGGGCCTTGCGAACATAATGGAAACCCCATGTAAACCCAAAAATCCCATAAGCCCTGGGTTCTTGAGCTTCTGGGAGCGACGACTCTTGCTTGGCCTTCCCCGGGTTCGCTACTGGAAGGTCTCACCCGGAAACCGGCGAGCACCTCGAGCCAGAAGAGGATGGAACAAGGCCGGAATCGAAACTTCGAGTCCTTTCGCCTATTGCTACTGCTTCTACTGCTACTGCTGCTGCTAGGGTATCGCCAGCAACTTCGCAGTAGTGGCAATCAGCTGAGCAGCAATAGGACAAGGAGGAGTAGGAGTAGTAGTAGTAGTAGTAGTAGTAGTAGTAGTAGTAGTAGTAGTAGTAGTAGTAGTAGTAGTAGTAGTAGTAGTAGTAGTAGTAGTAGTAGTAGTAATAGAAGTAGTAGTAAGTAGTGGTAGTAGCAGTGGTAGTAGCAGCAGCAGAGGCAGGCTCCGGCTGGAATCCCAGGATTGACTGAGAGTTAAGACTTGGGATGCGAGCCCGACATGTTCAGGGGCAGACGCATTTCTCCCATCGCACCGGCACTTTGGGCTCGTTTGCAAAGCAAAGGCCCAAGTAAAGGCCACGGGTCGACGCCCTTTCCTTGACCCCACAGCTCCAGCCCTCTAGCCCCTCTTGGTTAACCTCTCATACTTACACGCAGAAACTCCAAGGGTGTAGGCGCTTCTCGGTGCTTCTAAGGCGTTTACCTATAGTCTCCATTGTAGTTCCTTTTTTTGGTTTAACCAATTATGTATTTAGGACCCTATAAGGTAACAACAAAAAGGAACTACAATGGAGACTATAGGTAGGATTCAGAAGTTCGGATCTCGGGTTGAGGGCTTAGCGTGAAATGTTGGGAGCATCTGGCAAGAGTGGCACCGGTTCTGCCAGCATTTCTGCGAGGCTGCCGGCGCGGTTTTTACTAGACGGGTTATGAACAGGAACCGGAAAAAGTGAGCAGGCTAGGATGCCTATAAGGCGAGACACGAATTACGGGAGGCCCGATGTTCTCGCTTTCCTAATCTTCGTGCGATCCCAAGCATTGCAAGAGTAATCCCCAAGCCCCATACAGCAGAACACAGAAAGTGCCCATGGGGCAAGCAAAGGGCTGCTGATGCCTTACTTATGCTTGGTAGGGACTGAGGGGTACCGGGGTGGGAAGAGAGCTCTTGTAGAAGGATTTGATTAAAGATGCCGAACTGAAGGTTCAATGGCTTCCTCCCACCCTCAGCCCCATTATATATCCCTACAAAGCAAAAGTAAAGTCTGGGTGAAACGCCTCAGACTGAGCCCAGTCATGGATCAGTTTCTTCAGAGAGGGCAAACTTATTAGAGTGTTCCCATTTTTAAGTGTTCCTGCCACTGTCTTGTCAGGGTTCTACAAAAGTACTACAAGAGTTAAGGGTTTTGCTGGTTTTGGTGTGGTAACCTAGAAGCCTGAATAATCAGCGATGCATGAGGGTTCCTTTTCTGTACTTAACGAATACACACTACAACCTTATTCCACTTGTGACGGCCCCAAAATTGGAGGCTTGGTGTTTCCCGGGAGGCGACTTCGGGTCGACATCCGGTGACTTCACAAGGGTGTAATATAGGGGGTTCCATGAATCGAATACGGCTTCGGGGTATAAAGTCTGCTGTAAGGAGTAATTACGGAACACTAAGGACTAGTCTTGGTAGTTATTCCGACCCCTGTATTAGCAACTCGAGGTCTTCTACAACCGCTTGTAACCTAGCGCTGCGAGAGTTCCCACGCATCTCTAAGCAGCTGCACCACAGACACTCTTAGCCACGACGTAATTTCAACCACCACTGTCAGGCCGCTCGCACTTGCAACAGGTCTCTGTACCTGACCAGTGAAACCCATAATTTACCTTTTGTTTTCTTATGAACCCCTCCGGATTATTTTCTGACCCAAAATGATGGTAGGTCCGAGTTAAGGAACGAACAGTCGGTACCATACGGTCTTCTCCGTGCTCTGGGGCGATCTGAAAACATGCTGCTGCAGAGCTCTTGGCGATGGATCATTGCCAGAAACCGCTGCGGATAAAAGCCACGGAAGCTTGCGAAAGCGTCGGTCTCTGTACTGTGGAGTTCGGCACCCTTCCGCGTCCGCGAATTTCGGCTTTAAGCTGTGAAAAGCTCTAGGTGCACAATTTCTAGCATGTTGTAGCATGCTGCTGCATCACACATGCAGTTATACAGACATACAGACATGGGATATTGCATCATAAATACGAATGCCTCATCGAAACCGGGGTTATGGATCATAAGCCCAAACCTCAACCTCAAGAGCTCTCAAACCTTAAAGCCCCAGCCTTCAGGATCTTTAAGCCCTCAACGTCCTAAACCTCCGAAACCCTAAACACTTATGGAATCCTTATCGAGCCTTATCGCACCCTCAAACCGAACTCACATCTTCCAGCGTTGCGCCCAGGGCAGCAGACTCGACCTTGGAGGCCGGTGGGAGTCTCTTTGTAGTTCCGCTGCTTCGCGGTCATGAGGACGTGTTATCTGTTCTTTAAAGCTATTTGGGAAGGCTTAAGGATGGAGTTCTTTAGGGGTTCCTTGAAAGGGTTCTATACGGGTGTTTATAAGGCTTCAATGCAGCGGCCTTGATTAGCAGCGAGTTGATCCTGCGGTTTCACATCGGACTGCCGCAAATGCTCCAGCAGCTTCTGGTGAACTTGGGGCAGCATGTCGGACAAATGAACCCGCAGCCAAGACTTCTGGAGTCTGCCTAAGTGGGTTTGGGGCTCAGAGATGTCAGAGATGCTTTACGTCTCTCGGTTTTGGGTTTAGGTCCTCTCTCGCTCTCTCTCTCTCTCTCTCTCTCTCTCTCTCTCTCTCTCTCTCTCTCTCTCTCTCCAATGACTCATGAGAGAGATGATCTTCAAGCATCAAAACATCTGGGGCGGAGCTGCGCGCTACAATCAGACAAAACCTGGATGAAGGCCATGCAAGAGGACAGTATCTAAATCATACGGTGTTTGTGGGGCATCATACCGGTCTGACAATTGAGAACAGGGATTCCGGAGTATGTTACACTTGCGTAATATCGTGCCGAAACCAAAGGCCCTGATCTATCATCAATATTTTCACCC